ACTATGGACAAGTGCACAAAGGCCCACACAAATGCATATTATATAAGCATCGGTTATAATGGTGAGAGATGGAACAACTTCACCAATATTCCATACTTAGATACCAGCTGCCTTCACTGGCAGTTGCAATGCTTTGCCATGTATGTGTCTGTGTGTGCATTACGTGTGTGTGTGTGTTAATCTAAGGCAAAAATTTCTGGAAATATGTATGTCAAGATATAAACAGTGGCCACCTCCCCACCGCAGAATTGCAGCCACTAAAACAACATGGGTGCATCTGCTTTGTGATATAATAACGTATAGTGAACATTATTCCAACAGCTGAATTTAAATGTGACCTTCAATCCTACAATATCCACAATGTTATCTGTCAAATCAAGTAAGTATCTCTTTGCTGATTGTAAGATTAGAGACAAAAGGATGGGTGGTCCCAAGATTCATTCACTTACATCTCCTGCAATGGACTGGAGTATCCAACAAGAATAAAAAATAAAAAGGAAGGAAGGAAGGAAGGAAGGAAGGAAGGAAGGAAGGAAGGAAGGAAGGAAGAAAGAAAGAAAGAAAGAGTGGTGTTCGGTGTTCTGTCATTTCTCTGCAGGGGGAAAAAGCAGAATATTGTCTATGTTTCTAAAAAATAGAAATAATGCTGCCATCTTCCGCCATGATATAGTAATGGGAGTTCAGCCATATTGACTTCCTAAGCAAAAATGTTGTCCAAAGTGACTCATTCCCTGGGTGACTCAGAACCCAGCATAGATTTACTTCTCCCTTTCTTTGACTGAAGACATCTACATTTCAGATGCAGAAGTCTCTCTTACCCCCAGAGATGAAAAACACACTCTGAAAAGAAGCAAAATGGTCACCAAAACCTTGTCTGAGTTGATTACTAATTTAGATAACTGTAGTTTTGTAAAAAACCTTCCTGTTCCCCCATTTCCACACCAACATAGCATGGTGGGAAGTCTTTGACTGGACAGGCTTCCTATTGTACGTCTGCCAGCTTCTTATCGGCTGTGTAGCTCTGAGTCAACTCAGCCTCTCTGTTCTTCCAAGCTCAGGTTCCATACGGTCCTGACTGAAAGGTCAAATGAGATCATCTAGCTCTTAGGAACCCAAAGCATCACACGTAGGTTGGTTTTGTGAGATTCTAGCACAGTTCTGCACCTTAGGGGCTGCTTGGGTGAGTGAGGCTTCTTCCTCCCCTGTGGAAAAGGCTTCCAATCTGATCCTGAAGACAGGTCACCTGCTATCCCCAAGAGGCAAGGTGGGCAGAGGCAGAGGAGCTCCACCACAAAGCGCTGACCTGCGGCGATTCAGTTACGTTAGGGCGTTATCCATTTGACAGTTGTTACAGAGCACCTGAAAGTCCTCCTGGGTGTGGGGGTGCAAAGAGGTAGCCCTGTCCAGTGGAGAGAGACATCCCCAGTCTCTCATTAAGTCTTGTAAGTAGATACAGTCACTTGTGAAAGACTGTTTATTTTGAGATGCATTTGCAATATCATGAATGACCCCAGCCCCCTGATTTCCAGGGTACTCTGTCCCCAGAATTTCTCCTAATTTACATTTCAGTGCTTGCAACAGAAGCAGTTAAGTTCATTTTGCGTTTATGAACAAATCTTGTCTTTAACATGCAGCAAAGAGAAGTTCTGTAAATGGGAGAACTCAACCCATCAAATTCTCTTCTTCTCAAACCCTGGAGGAATAATAACACCGGAGGGGACGGGCGGCAGACGATGTACCCTGGCTTATGCTGATCTTGCAGGAGGCAGAAACGGTCACATGACTAAGAATGGGCTAGCGTTTAAAGTGTGGCTATCTGTCCTCTTCTCCTGTTTTGTTTCCAGTTAGGGACGGGTATCATTCAGTGAAGTAGGCGGGTGCATAGGCTAGAAATGCATTCGGTTCTAAGTTAGAACCAAAATAAGACTGACTGTCACATAAACAAAAGTCAAGGCACTGATTTGACCTTTACGACAAGCAGTCTTGGGGTAGACAACCCAGGCTGGGGAGACCGTACAGCGACCCAGGCTGCTGGAGTCGGGTACTCTCTACCTCTGTGTGGTACATCTCAGCAGGAAGGACTCCATCCACGGGTCTCCACCAGATGAAAACTGCCAGGCTAGAAAGGAAGTCGGCAGGAGCACGGGAAGGGTACGACAGTCAGTTCCGTCTCTGGAAGGGGTTGGGTAAGGGAAAACTCTGATCACTTCCACTTGCATATCTACTAGGTGAGGATGCCCTGGTGCACACAGTGTGACCATGGCTGCAAGGTGTGGGGTGGGAGTGGAGAAAGGAGACCGGCTGGCAGCTGCATCCGCCTGCCCACAAAGATCTGCCACAAACAGCTCAAGACACCTACTTAACAGCTGATAGACGTAGGTGTTAAGCAAAAATCTTGTTGTCAATGCTTATTTATATACTTTTTTAAATGTGTTTCTTTCTTGGTATCTTAGCAACTTTGAAACCTCTCTCAGGTGTGTTTTTACTCTCTGCCAAGTTCGTGTGGTTCCCTTTGTAACCGTGCAAAGGGGCGATACAGACAGCGCCTGTAAATCTCAGCGTCTCCGTCTGTGTCTGCATGAAATGAAGACGCTGCGCCTTCGCAGAAAGAAGTGTGGTGAAATGTTCTCAGACATGCTGGGGTCAGGAGAGGGGTGGAAATACGCGGCAGAAGTGAGGTTTCAGCGGCTGTCTCTTCTGGACCCTAGGCTCCTGTGTAGCATTGCATTTTCCTTTCTCTGAAAATGTCCAGGAGACAGGCTATCTTTTTAACACAAAACCAATTTAAATGAAGCCTCACTGGCTAACTAATAGCCTCCATTCTAAATGATAATATAAAAACAACCCTTAAAGCTAAAACAGCCCTTGATTTTCACAGAAGAAAAAAAATATTTAAAGTTGGAAAACCTTGACACCAACAAGACCGTGGGTGTGATACAGATAAGTTTATACCTTTGTGGCTCATTGCTGGTTTTGTTCTACGTCATTTATTTAACCAGTATTGCTAAAAAATTTAATCTAGCATTTTACACTTTCAGGATTACGTGTTGTAATCCTGTAAAGAACTCATGATTTTTCTTATTTTTAACATCACAATATCACAATATAATAGCTGAAAGTCCATGGTTTATAAAATGGCTGTAAGAAACTTTATTTCGAATTGCAATGCTTCCTTCAATCTCAGAATAATTGAAATGCAGGGACTTTGGTGCCCCGCAATGCTGACTTCTCATCGAGGCTTTACCAGTTAGTACCATTTCCCATTCACCCTACTTCCCAGCTTTCCCCACTACACAGCATCACCGTAAGCGTGAATCTAAGGAAGAGTAATCTAAGGAAGATTCATGTAAGCGTGAATCTAAGGAAGAGAACGTGGGCATTGCGCACCGCCTTCTTGTCCTAGGACTTGGCTGAGACTCGACAAATGATAAACACCATTATAAAAGATGAGCAAGTCATTGCCTTTTCTGCTTCTGAGCTCCATTTGCAAGGCCAGCAATCGTGACCATGAATTCTACTGGACATTCTGCTGAACTGGAGATTGAGCCTTTTCTTTTCTCTTTTCATACTCATTGGCCAAGTGAAAAGTTTTAGTTTAAAACTGAGAAACAGTAATTTTTCATTGCTGGATAAGGTTTTTATTTTATAGCCTTGATTCTAAGTCGGTTGCAAACTTACAGATGAACAATAGTTCATTTAATAGTTCATATTAAATAATGCCTTTGGAGAAGATGGATACACACTCATGTGTGCAGGTGTAGAGTCGAGACAGAACAATCCACCTTGATTTCAGAGACAAGGTCTCTCTGAGATCTGGGTCCACTGATTAGGCTGGGATGGCTAGCTAATGAATCTGAGACCTGCCCGTCCCCACCTCCGCAGCAATACCACCACAGCTGCTTCGTCCGTAGGTCCTGAAGATCACACTTAGCTCCTCAAGCTTCTGTAGCAAGCACTTTGCTTTAGTGATCACCCCAGCCCCCCATTTTAAATAACATTTTCATCTCTAGTAGGACCAAGCCAAGGTAGTTACTCCGTGTTTCTTGGATTCCACAAAAGATCATTAATGAAGTATATCAAATGAATCAAGTATGTCACAGAATTGTACATTAATTCCATTGGACACATTAGCTATGTCTGTCACAGCTTGAGAGGACTGTGGAATGGTACTGGGCCTGCTTCAGAATGGAAGATACCAGTGTGCCGCTGGGTAAATCTGAGTGCAGTTGACACACGGTAACATACATTGACTCCTGTAACTAAAGTGCAAAGGTATCCAGAGTTAAATCCTGACAGATTACAAAACCCTTGAGTTTTTTTTTCTAAAAATGGCAATGCTTTTGTTTGCTTGAGAATCAAGATGAGAATTTAACTGACTTTGAACACAAACATTAAAAATGTGTACAGCATTTTCAATATTGAATTCATGAGCATGAAAAATATTTTGAAAATAAACAAAAAGTTAGTAAGTTGTCAAATTTTCCACCACAACAAACATTCTGGTCCATGTTTTTCTGTGGTGTTTTGTGGATGGTATTGAAACTTAATCATAATACAAATTTTAATATATTTGTATTATCTTTATCAATATATAAAATATAGGGTATTCTGTCAGGTTACATAAGCTTTCCTATTTCCCTCTAATTTGGTTCTGAGATTACTACCAACTACTAATAAAAATAATCATTTAATATTCACTAAGTTTTTCTAAAATTATATTTGCATTTAGAATTATTTCATTTGGGTAGATTCCAGCTGCCAAAATTAATGAAAATATATAAGTTCTCAATTTCAGATACACCTGACAACCCGTCCATGTTAGCATTTTTAAAGGTCTTCTTTGTTTCAGATGGATTTGTTAGACTGAGTGAAATCTGTTCTCCAGCTTGACAAAGTTAAATAAATCAAACGAAACTGCCTGGACACGCAGAATGACACCTCAGTCCTTCTCTGATACATCCGTCTGTGGAAGTGTCTGATTCCCACCTTGTTTCCTTCAGTTTTACAGGAGATTCTAAACTGGCGTCAAGCATGCGCTATGTGGAAACACAGTCAATGCAGATCGGAGCCTCCTACATGATTCAGTTTAGCCTGGTGATGGGGTGTGGCCAGAAATACACCGCTGACATTGACAACCAGGTGAAGCTGGAGTTCTCAGCCAACCATGGCCTTACGTGGCACCTGGTCCAAGAAGTACGTATGCTTTCTCTGACCCTTGCAATGGCTACCTTCTTCCTTAATCAGTATTATACAACCTAAAATTGACATCAAGTTAGAACCAACACAAAGAGACACCCTCCCCCAGAAGTATCAGATTCCAAAGAGCAATTGCAAATAAAAGAAGTAAGTGTAGCCAAGACTGGATACTCTTGGATACTGTATCAAGTCTTATTTCTCCAGCTCCCTTTCTCTGAAAGCATGGCTTTTCCTCCCCTATGGCATGATTTGAGCTCTCCTTTTCCCAACCAGGGGTTGTCTAGATAAGGAATGAGTTGGCTTCTGACCTTAGAAACAAACGCATAAGAACTATAATCTAAATTTTGCAATAAATCTACTTTGCATATGATGCATGCACACTCTGATAATCTGACATTTCCATAAATGCAAACATATAACACAAAGAATAAGTTTTATAAATGCTAATTATGTTAAGAGGTTGAAATTGATCTTCATTCCTATTTGTGGTGAGAGCTGAAAGATGTTTAATTCTATGATGACGTCTCAGTTGCAATTTCTTCCCAAATGTTTTTAATGTCGCAGAAGAAAAAAAAATGATAAATTTGGTCCCTAGTGCCAGTAGCTGAGATTGTGGCCTTAGCTGGCGCTGCAGTCTTTTTCTCTTGCTGTAGGACAGGAGAGATCTGCAGCAGATGATGGGAGGCTGAGTTTAACTTCTGCGTCTCTTTCAGGAGTGCCTTCCCAGTATGCCAAGTTGCCAAGAATTTACATCTGCCAGTATTTACCATGCCAGTGAGTTCACACAGTGGAGGAGAGTCATTGTTCTTCTTCCCCAGAAAACCTGGTGAGCAACAACGCCCTAAACATGGCCGCTCCTTCCACTTTTATCCTGTTATCATAACTTGAGTATGAAGATAATCTCAGCAGATAGGAAGATTGCTTTCTCTCTGTTTGGAAACCTAATCTTGCTTATGTACTCAGGTTTTTGGAAAATGGAGTTAATGAGAAATATGAGAATTTGTTTTTCCAGTGTTTCTGATCTCTCTTCTTACCCCCAGAATTCTGCTTTTGTGGAAACGCTCAATGAGCCTACTTCTTACCATTTGACCTTCAGTAGGAAATGACACAAGGGATCTAGAAACCCAGGTAGTTCGGATTGTGAGTTTATTTTCTCATTGCAAGGCCTAACTTTATATCAAAAGTTTAGCACACATTCTTTTTCTAGTCACATTTTTTTTAGCAACAATAGAAATCATCCCTTGGGAAGAAAAAGCCTCAGTAAACAAGGAAGAAAGAACAATCGAGAAGAGGAAGAAAAAATTACAATAGATTTTTTGCAGTCTACATTTTTTTCATCTTAGTCTGGTCAGTCAAAACATTGCAATATCAGTGTCTATTTTTTCATTCAGTGCTATGGATAATATTTAAAGCCTTTTGTCAGCATAAGTTTGCCCAAAGGAAAAGTCTCAGACTGCAGATTAGGTCTGAATTCTCAATGTAACTCCACCAGTGATCAACCAGTCACATGATCCTTGCTGTTACCACCCCCCTCTTCAGGGTAGACTCCTGTGGATGTATAGACTAATTAGTTTATCTTAGAGGTTCCTCACCCTGGACATCTAAGATTCTGATTTATGTGTAGAAGAAAAAGCGTAATAAAGACCAGCGTTGTATTTTCCTATTGAAGGTATACGCCTTCAATGCGCTTTTTATGAAGAGAAAATAACTAAACAAATATTTCTCTGATTGTTTTCTATATAAAAGTTGGGCACTTCCCAAAGGCAATGGACAGGTGACAACCCAGAATTTGCTTTGTAACTTCTGGTGAAGGCTGAGTGACTGCACTGTGTGAGAACGACTCCTTGATTGTTTGTAGAGTACATCATTATGTCAGTTGGAATAAGAGGCTTGAAATTTGATTTCCACAGGTGTTTTTTAATGTCCCACTGTGAGCCATTTCCAAGATGCTCTATTGATGCTTTGTGTAATAAGTCGTTGGTTTCTTTAATATTCTACTCTTTTGTGTCTACTGCTGGGAATGTAATCAAGATTTTTATTTAATTTCAATAATATTCCAAGCATGTATTTCAATGAAAGCATATGTAAAACAACACCTCAAACAATTGAAACACTGATCACTCTGACTGCAAGCTCCTGAGGGCTTTCGGTCTGTGTTGCTGCATAATTAAATTTATTTCTTTCATTATTAAGAAAATCACCAAGTGATTTGACTCATTGGCATATGTGACTCGATTTTAAAATGCCTATCTTAAGATAATATTTTGTTGTGTGTTGTAGAAATTTTTTTATCCCTAGAAACATTCCAAGCCACCATTCCTTTTTAGTCTTTCCATGCATGAACGTTTTGGCTGTTTTATGTCTTTGTGCTATGTGTGCCTGGTGCCCTCAGAGGCCAGAAGGTGGCCTTAGGTCTCCTGGATCTGGAGTTACTGACAGTGGATTCTGGGAATCAAACCCAGGTTCTCTGGGAGAGCAACCAGTGCTCTTAACCATGGCCTCATACCAGCGGGTCTGATTCAGGACAGGTTACTCTTCATCAATGTTGAAGAGAAATGTCATGACTCTTAAACTCTGTACATTCATTAGAGTGCCTGGCCTATAGTAGGCTTATTAGTATATCTTCATGGAATGTTAGAAAGTTAAATAGAATTTTGATTCAAAGCACATCAATGTATTAAAAAGATGGCGTACTGTAAGACACATATGTGAACATACGATATGAAAACAGAAGGAAACCTATTTGGGGTCAGGAAGGGATCTAGCAGGAAGCAGAAAGAGGGAAAGAGAAAGTGGTAGATGGAAAATATGAGCAAAATGCCATGATATATGTATATGAAACTTACTTTGTATGCCAACTAAAACTTTTGTAAATATATTACTCTCAAACAAAAGAAACTATTATTCTTGTTGCCATGTGCCTTTAAGCACATGTACTCTGTAATCAAATTCTGCTTTCCCAATTTCCTTTAGACTCCTTGGTAGGGGAAAGTGAAATGTTATTTTTAAAAACAAACATCCCAGTATAGTATTTATTCCCCTTGACTCATGGTTGATCTAAATATTATTTCTACATAAGAAAGTTTTATGCTGGTTATTGCCATTGTTTCTGAGAATATAATGATTAAAGTCTCTACCATAAGGATTAAATTTATTTAGTCTACACAGCATCCTTGATAATTTTTTTATAATGCCTATTTCAAGGTTTTTGCAAAAAGCATTCTACGGGGGAAAGAGGGAGTTTGGTTTGAAGCAGTGTTATTTTTCTGACCAAATCATTGTTCTGCTGTTTTGATTCAAACATGTGTGCAAGTATAAATTAAATACATGAAAGCAAGCATGGTCCTTGCAATATCCTAGGTATGTTAACTTTGGAAAAGGTGTTCGATTGGATAACTGTCAAGTGGAAATGGCTCCTGGATACACCTGCTCAGAGAAATTACACTGTATATGAACTGAACATTTGCTACCCAATGAAAATTAATTTCATTTTTATGAGGGATATTTACATAAGAACAGGGCCTAATGAGACCCAAACAGCTGTCAGTTGCGGACTTCATAAACAAATCAACACCTAATGACTGCGTGAGTTTCTGAATAATTGGGCAAATGTAATTACGGGAACTCTAAAGGTGGAAAATACAATTTAGCTAGCCTTCATTTACCTTGATTCTTCAGTTACATAATAAGCATAGAGAAATGAGTGGCTGCCAGTATGCTTTGGTCATGAAGTTTATGGGAGGAGGGGGGATTGCCTCAAGTTCTGTTGCTTTTAGAAATCCATGGAGTTTGAAGTTTGAATTTTAAATTCAAGTCAGTGTTATTGTGTGACCTCTTCAGGGATGGATGGATGGATGGATGGATGGATG